TAGAAAGGCTTAGGCCCAAGTGGAGGGCAAAGGTTGCATGGTCTTATCATGCACCTAGATATAGCCAATCTAAACCCAAAGATTCCATCCTTGGCCACCAAGTTGCATCTAGGGTTCATTTGCATTTCATTTGGAATGCATTTGCCTACTCCAAATGCAACCCTAGATGCCTCCCCTCCTATAAATACCCAACACCCCACACCTTGTAAATACTTTGGATATTGAATATAAAGAGAGCCTTTAGTGCCTTTATATCTTTCCTTAGTCACCCTTGGCTATTTTCGGCCAAACCCTACCATCTCCACCTTGAGAGAAACAACCCTAGAAGTGGCCTTCATCATCATGAAGTGAGCCAACCCTAGAGTACCATTCTCAAGCATTTCCTCAAACACCTTCTACCCAACCTTCATTTTCGTCCATTACATCATCATCCACCCTAAAACCTTGGTCCACCTTTGAAGAACTTGATCCTTGGAGAAGGCGTCCTCCTCCTTGCTCATCATCTCAAGTTCATGCAAGTAAGGATGTCATCACCTCTCCATTGCCGAGTGTCCAATCAGATAATGACCGAGTAGGCCTTTATGGGTGAGTGAGATCAGTATCTGGTTGACGTGGCCCAAATTGGTTATATGCCGATTGACTCTAAGAGGGTGAGTCGGCAAAGGTTACAGTCGGGTGATCAAATGAGGGGAGATCAGGTCGTGAATTGGCCTGGGCAGTGCACAGGTTTATAGTCGACCTCACATGCATAGTAGCCCTTATAGTCCGCGATACCATTTGGCCTATGGCCGAGTCGGCGATACCAATCGGCCTACGGCCAAGCCGGCGATACCAATCGGCATACAGCCGAGTCGGTGAAAAGGCTTAAGGTGTAGTTCTTATAGTCGGTGATACCAATCAGCCTACGGCCGAGACGGTCCACTGACATTTATTTTAAGACTTTTTTTTCCCTAATGTATAACACCTATTATGAAACGTTAGAGCATTATCTTTTTATACGAGAAGCAAAAAAGTTATTACATCACCATTGACTGAGTTATTAATATATATATAGAGGGGTGTGGGACCTAAAAAAATAAATAAAAGTAACTGTACAAATATCCATAATCATAAAAGCGGAGAAGTGTAAGAACCTAAAAATAAATTTTTTAAAAAAATAGTTAATGCAGAAAACCAAAAACTTAAAGGCAATGATCGGTACAATAAGTATAACCAGTGGTGGATCTTCATAGGGACGGGGAAGTCACGGCTCCCCCAAATTTTTTTAAATCTTTTTTTTATTATATATATATATATATATATATATATATATATATTAATATTATATTTATATATTATTATATCATTAATTATAATAAAACTAAAAAAATTAAGTTAAAAAAAGAGAAATTTTATTATTTTTTTAACTAATAAAAAATTTAATTTATAATTATATATATATATGAAAATAATCTGGCACCCCTAAAAATAATCTGACATCCTTGAAATTTTTTTTCAAGTTCTGCCACTGAGTATAACCATAAAGGCAAAGGGTTGAAAAGATCCAAACGCATAAAAGCTAATTCATAGGAGTACTTGATTAAAAATGTAATGAAAAAATTTAAGAACCTAAAAATAAAATTTTTAAAAAAATTGTTAATGCAGAAAACCAAAATCTTAAAAGCAATGAGTACAATAAGTATAACCCATAAAGGCAAAGGGTTGAAAAGATCCAAAACCATAAAAGCTAATTCATAAGAGTACTTGATTAAAAATGTAATGAAAAAAAATGTATAAATATTTGTTCTAAAATATCAATATAAAATATACCATGAACATGATATAGTATCAAAACTTGATTCACACTTTAATTACTGTTTTAAAATACTTTTTAATACAATAATGTTAATTAATATTAACATGTTATTGCTGTCCAAAAACATTATTAATATATTATTAATGTATCACACTCTTTATTAATACGGTATATGCATGGTAATTAATATTAGTATGGTAATAAATAATATTAGTATGCAACACACGTGTTTAAATACATTATTATTAACGAAATTTAATGTAAATCACACGATTACATAAATCAAGTTTCACTCCTTAAATAATACCTACTTATAATTTTATAGTTTTTAATAAATGTAATCATGATAAAAAAAAATTAGAAAAAACAAAAAAAAAAAGTTAGAAAATATATTATTAGAAATTCGCTTAAAAAAATTTGACACGAAAATTCACTTAACTTTTAAACACAGTATTATTATATATATAAAAACTATTATTAATTAAAAATTCTAAAATTGTAACTTATTCAACTCTTGCTCATAGTTTTATAACTTAAAAAATTTTCATCGATAATAATAAAATTGTATTATCAGTTGCGTTTAATGCACGGCTGTTCATAATATTTTAACCTTTTTCTCCATAAATATATTTGTCCATTTTATGAAATAGGCACGGCTCCTTCCAAATCCATAGCAATTTTTTTGGGAAGCATATTCTAAAGATATTCCGAAAAATAAAAATTACTTGTCGGCAAGAATAAGCTAACTTTTGAGAATCTAGAAGTCGTTGTTTGTATGGTTGATGTCTAACACGTGTACCTAAAATACGCTTAACCATAAAAGATAATAACCTCCCTAATGTCTCAAAATATCTATATGCGAAATTATAACCAATTTTCTAAAAATAAACTATCGGGTTCAAGTTTTATATATAAAGAAAATATATATCAAATTTCTCAGTATGAGACTAATTATCATAAAGTCAATAAGTATTTTTTACTTAGGATACTCTCAAAAAAAAAAAAAAAAAAACTTCTTCTATATATTTACCAAGCTTGTCAATGAACATGGCATAGTAAACGAATAAAATGAGATAAAGTAGTGCGTGTTTGGTTTGAATTTTGTAATATGATTTTTTAGGTGAATAAAAATAACTTCTCATAATTCTTACGTAAATATGAGATTTGAATGTGAAAATTTATTATAACATATGTATAAAAAGCTGAACCAAACACGCATGTAATTGCTTTCCCATGCGACTATTGCTAGGCCACCATTGCTACTGTTATCCTCTGAAGTTCTCAGTGTATGTTGATGGTGTTGAAAGAAAAAATAAAATAATCGATGATGTTAATTGCTAAGGAAAAAAATACATAAATGATGTTTGTTTTATACTTCATACCGAACTTGGGAAAGATCTCTATTACCGATATAAATCATTCACGCAAGCAAATTTGATATTACATGCAAACTAATTAAAATCTTAAAGCGTGATATCTATCCAACTAAGACTTCTTTGATTACTGTACACTCCAACAAATACAGTTCTCTTTCATGTTATTATATATACACATATATACCTTTCGGTATTTGTTTCTCGAATCTTATATTTTTGTTATTAAATCTCACTTCTGTTATATATTCGTATTTTTTACAGTAAAATAAAAGTTATATTAAAATTGTATATCTATATATAGAATTTCGTAAAATATATTCTGACTCTGAATCAGACAATGAAAGTCCAAGTATACATTTTTAAACTGTATCTTAATTATAATAATTTATAAATAAACAAAGAATTTTGTAATATTTTACGCATTTTAATATATGAATAAAAAATTGTTGGGGCAAAATTTAGCTTTGTAAATTTTCAATACATTTATATCTCTTTCAATAATCATTAAAAATAGAATTCATAAATTATAAAAAAAAATATAATACAAAACTATGTCATTTTTATTTATTTAATAACTTTAAAATTTTAAAATAAGAGCTTAAAATTTTTCTTGATAACTATTTTTTTCACCAACATGATGGTTTTAGTGTGTGTTTGACACTACATCACATCAACTTATATATGCGTCTAGAAGAAGCAAATATTTATAACTTTTGCATCTATTATCAATTTTAACATAATTTTTGAATCTAACGTAAGTAAATAACGTCATTCCAAACACACACTTAATGTAAAAATGAATTTAAATCAATTAAGATTTGGAATTCTAGTATTAGAAATAAAATAAATTAATTGTGAGGATAAATCTCACAAAAAGTCAACTAAATTTTGCATATCTATTTATGGAACAATATAATTACTAGAAAGATAAAACTTTTTTACATCATTAATCAATCTTAAATCATTTTTTCTTAAAATAATTATTATAAAAGTGAACAATTTATATCATATATATTGATTTATAATTTTATAACAACATATGTATATTACAAATATTTTAATTGAAGTTTTAAAATATTATGAATTAAGAGTTTGTTTAAGACAAAAGTAAAATTTATATGTTTTAATAAGCAATTATATGTATAATTGGTTATTGTCATAATTGCTTATAATTATTGAAATGAGATTTTGTTTAAGTAAATTTGTTAAAAAAATATTTTAAGATATTTAATTTTATTTGAATATAACAAAAAAAATAACTTTTATATAATACCAAGGTGAAAGGAAAAAAAAAATTTAAAAATAATTGTAAGTTTCAATCCTTATTTGCAAGAAAACAACTTATTTTTAAGAATTTTCTTTCATAAATTTTATTATTTCTGCAAACCTAGCTGCAACTTATTTTATAATCAAAATTTTCAATATAAAAAAAAATAGCTGAAATGGTATAGGAGGGGTGGGTGGGTGGGGGGAATTCTCTCAAACATGCTCTAAGTTTGTTTTTAAGCAACTAAAACATGCTCTAAGTGTGTTCTAGGCTTTAATCCTTACCGCTCCCACGATTTGTATCTATATCAATTTACAAATTTAGTAATAGTTTGAGAAGGTTACACGTATCAATTTGTTTGTGCAAAGTGCAAACGCGATTCCATAAGGTATGATGAGAATATAAACGTTGAAGGGATGCGTGTGTGTCTAAGAAATGATAGAAATTGACAAGGCCAAGAGAAACATAAAGAAAGGAAGGAGAAGGATATATGGCCAATTACATATAGAGGGTTGCGTGTAGCATAGCAATTCAACGATTTTAATTGCCAAATATTTTGGTCAGAGCCGTTGCAAACACACCCTCCCCAAACCCAATTCATTTTTTTTTTCTTTTAGTAGCAATTTTAATGTATTCCTTATCACACTGTGTATCTTGCGCAACCCCATCATATAATAGTAGCCCCCCCACACCCAAAACGAGTTGCAGCTACAAATTGCATGAACCAACAATTCCAAGCCAAAAGAAGAAGATGATAGGAAAATATAGAAAGACCCTTATGGTATTCCCGATCCTCCTACACTTCCTCTTGTTCCCACAACCCCTTCTTTCTCAAGACAACAATAACTTTGTTCGTCAGCCAGCTGGTCAACTCATTATCACTCCCCACCAACGATCCAATTCGGAACCCCAACAGGTTCACTATATATTATTATAAAACCTTAATAATTTATGTAGGAGATTGGTTTTATAATTATGTTACATATATGTAATGTAGGTGCACATTTCATTGGTGGGGAAAGAGAAGATGAGGGTGTCGTGGATAACCGAAGAGAAGCAGGCGGAATCCGTGGTGGAGTATGGAACAAAGTCAGGGGAATATAGCGCCAAAGCAACGGGGGAGCATACCTCGTACCAATATTTTTTCTATACCTCGGGCCAGATCCACAACGTTGTTATTGGGCCTTTGCAGCCATCTACTACTTACTACTACCGTTGCAGTGCCTCTGGTCCTGAGTTTTCCTTCAAGACACCCCCACCCAACTTGCCCATTCAGTTTGTCATCGTTGGTGAGTTCTTCTAAGGATTTCCTTTGCTTCACGATTTGCTTTCCTCTCTTTCATTATACTTTCTCATACGCCTGTTACGCTTTCCTTTCCATGTTTTTGTTCGTGTTTGCGTGGGAGATTAATTAAAGGCTAGTGACATCATCAAATTAGAGTATATGAACCAGAGATAATTCTTACCACACATTTCTATTTTGTAAAGTTGAGTGTAAGTGTAGAGTTACATTAGTTATGAGTTAAAGATGAGTTGGTTAGAGTGAGTTGAGGCGTTCTTCAAGCCAACGCAAAGATAACGTGGGACAGGATAAGATTCCTTTTAAGTTTTAAGGATTAAAGGGTGCATCATGTGTACACCACTAGTTATATTAGGCAGTTAGTTGCCAAACTTGCCTGTAAAAGTTAATACGCAATCACTACTTCATAATTTCTTTTAAGAATGATTCTAAATCTTGATTACAAAATTTTATTAATTATTGACGTTCTTATTTATTAAATAAAAGAATTAAATTTTTAATACTTCTTGGATGTTAAATGAATATGCTTTTATTTAATATTTTTATTAAATATTAAGAAGATTTATAAGAGAATTTGTGAAAGGTTATGCTAGATCTAGGTTTGTCACTTTTCATCAGAAGAGAGAATAATGGCATGGAAAGGTATAGAGAGAAAGAAAAAGAGATAGAAAGAAATTAGGCTTGAAAGTAGCCTAAAAATACATCCAATGACAATTAGTTTAGCTTGAAAGTCTTACTTAGAAAAATAAATTTGGGCCAAGATACAAGTAGCCAATAAAAAATCCTTTAATACATATCATATTAAAAAAATTAATTAGAAATTTAATTCAATTTTATAAAATTAACTTATGCTATACATATAATGTGGAATCTTCAACATTAATAATTAATAATATTGAATATGTTGGAGATTAAACGTGCATTTGTAATCATTCTCGGCTCTAATATGAAACAAAGATTACTCATTCCAATTTTAGATATCACAAGGAAAGTACTCAATAGATTAAACATTTGTAATTATTCATGTTATATACTATGGTATATATGTAGGTGACTTGGGACAAACAGAATGGACTGCATCAACCTTAAAACATGTTGACAGCAGCGACTACGACGTGTTCCTGTTACCTGGAGACCTATCCTATGCAGACTCCCAGCAACCCTTATGGGACTCCTTTGGTCGTTTAGTGGAACCATATGCTAGTAAAAGGCCATGGATGGTTACTGAAGGGAACCACGAGATCGAGATTTTCCCCATCATCTACCCCAAAGGCTTCGAGGCCTACAACGCTCGCTGGCCCATGCCCTTCCAACAAAGTGCTTCCACCTCCAACCTCTATTACTCCTTCGAGGTTGCCGCCACCCACGTCATCATGCTAGGTTCCTACACTGATTTTGACCACCAATCAGACCAATACACGTGGCTTCAATCTGACCTCGCCAACATTGATAGGGCCAAGACACCTTGGGTGATTGTGCTGCTTCATGCACCTTGGTATAATACTAACGAGGCACACCAAGGTGAAGGCGAATCCATGAGACAAGCCATGGAGGAGTTGCTTTATAATGCTCGCGTTGACTTGGTTTTTGCTGGCCATGTTCATGCTTATGAACGCTTCGTATGTCACCTCTTCAATATTTTTAATTTACTCATTAATTATTTCACTTTCATGTATATATTTATATATATATTTCTTTCATTTGCAGACTCGAATTTACGACAATAAGGCTGATTCATGTGGACCGATGTATGTGACTATTGGGGATGGAGGAAACCGCGAGGGACTTGCCTTAACGTGAGATACTATTTACTAATTTTAATTATTTATATATTTTCGGTTATAGTTTTTTCTTTTCTTGGTGGATTGATGTTATTGTATATTGATTGTTTTGTTGAGAATAGGTTTAAGAACCCTCCTAGCCCGCTATCGTTGTATCGAGAGTCAAGCTTTGGACATGGAAGGTTACGGATACTAAATGAAACACATGCGCATTGGTCATGGCACCGAAACAATGATTCTGACGCGGTTGTGGCTGATGGTGTTTGGATAGAGAGTTTAAGCAGCTCGAAAGCATGCTCAAAGATACCAGAGCAACAAGATGCTGCTCATGAAGAGCTATAAAGTTCTGCTCGTGTTATACTGATATTTGATATGATATCAGAGCTCAATGGAGTTATACTGTGTTTAAATTCAATGCACTTCAGTTTGATTCGAATCTGTGCCAAATCAGACTCGGGATTTTTCAATATATAGAAACCCTCAATAACCAATCCACACAAGAATCAAATGTTTGTTTCGGCAACATGGTCATTTGTCAGAATAGAAGAAAAATCCTTCACCAACTTGATGTGAATATATATAAACATGCTTCTAATTGTCGCTAGATTATGGTTCTGATGAATAAATGGGATTCTTGATTCTCTTATTTTTCATTTTCTTTTCATCTCATTTCTTTGATTCATTGGTTTGCATGTAAATTCCCATGAAGAAGAAATAATGAAATATATTGAGAATAGGAAATTTTGGTTACTGTAATTTATGGCATTTGGACAAAATTGGGCAAGCAAATAAAATTCTAAAATAGAATCTAATTGAGTTTTTTTGTGAATGAATAATTCTTTCGTTTTCAGATATTACATAATAAAGTATTTTTAAATTTATATTATATTTTTTATAAACATAAAATAAATGAGGCTCTATAAAAATAAATAAATATATATATAACAAAAAATATGCGCATAATTGTGTGTGTAACAATATAACAACAATCTAGCATGGTTCCAGGTCATTCTGGTTGCATCTTGTGCATTAATAATTCTTAGGTGCTCAGCAGAAGCACCTCCCTTGGGTCATAGTATTGTCATCTTCTTCGTTGGGTCTGTAGCCATATTGTTGTCTTAAGAGCGTTATTATATCATATGAAAGGACTTGAAAGAATAGACAATTAAGAGGACAGTGAGTTCCCGTTCAAGATCCAGAAGAAAATGATTCTATGAACAGCTTGGTAAATACAGCAGGCACCATATGTAAGAATAGTTTAACGCCGGTTTATTGAGAGTTGTTTATTCTATATATGCTTTGTTTGGTTTATGGAAGAAAGAGGAGAAAAAAAGTAAAAGGAGATAAAGTGAGAAAAAGAATAAATGAGACGATTATTTAATTGTTAGGAGAGAAAAGAGAAAGAAAAAATAAGGGAAAAGAAAGTAATATATTTCTAAAAGGAAAAAATGGCTCTAATAAAAATGACATATCACTTTTATTTTAAATTATGTGACCTAATTATAAAATATATAATAGTAATTAATTTCATGTTGCTACTCTCTTTTTTGTTGCTTTCTTTTCAAATTAGAGAAAGTCCATTTCAATGTAGAGCTTGCAGGTTTTTTTTCCTCTCTCATTTCATGTGCAAGAGGAAGGAAAGTATTTTGAAAAATGTGTGTTCCTTCCTTTTTCTTTTTCTTCTTTTCTTTCAAATAATGAAACACTTTCAAATTTCTTTTTTTACTATAAAAAAATTGTCATATAATTAATAACATATATCATATAATGATAGAATATTTATCATTAAAAATACTATTACATGTATTATAAATACAAATATATGTTAGTATATTGTTAAAAAAATATAGATATAGATTATAATGTTACAAAATATATATATATATATACTTACATATATTATTAAATCTAATATTTCTTATAATATTTCATTTTTCTTTCGGTTTAGGCAGAAACACTTTTCAAGTGAAACATACTCATAATGTTTATTTTTTTCTCATGTTTACAACCAACTAAACAAGATCATAAAGTTTTATAATATTTTCTTTCCCTTTTTATTTTTTATTTTATTTTCATCTAAACTAAACATTGTGTTAAAGTGAGAAGAGCGAAGGAACATGAGTAAGGATAATTTCTTATAAAAAGAATCTTTCATATAAAAAATTGAAAATCCAATAGCAAATTTTATTTATTTAGTTAAGAATTGGATAATGTGAGAAATAAATATTAATTTTGATATTTTAAAAAAATCTCACTTTAATAATAAATTTTCATAACCGTCCCATAATTGTCAGTGAGTCAGAAAGAGGACAAAACCTCACATGAATCTCCAAGATAGATCAAAGAAGAATCTTTTAACCATGCAACATACTAGTTAAACTTACATTGATTTCTAGCTTACGAATAAGAATTCAACTAAAGTGACTAATCAATAGTCACTTGCTTCGATCCTTAAAATATAGTAAAATTGTTTATTTTTAGTGACTCATCGAACTCGTAAATATGTTCACACTAAATTATTATAATCTTTGCAAGTAATGATCATTTATTAATAGAATAAGAATAGATTAGTTGGACATGACAAATTCACCATGTTTGATTTTGCACTATGTGTCACTTGATGTGCATATAGTCATATAATATAAGTGTGTTTGGATGCACTTTAAATGTGTATGTTTGAAGTTTCATAACATATGTTTGGTTCCATTTTCTGTTAAAAGATAAAATTTTATGATACATTTAGATATTTTATCCTGTAACAAAATCTGTTAGTTTTTGTTATAGGATAAATTTAAGTTCTATTAATAATTCTTAATCTATTTGTAACTGAAAGATAAGTATCTTTTTGATATACTTGTAATCTGTTATCAGGATATTACATATGCATATTGATCAATTACAAATCATCTTCTACCACATCTCTTTTTCTTCTTTTTTTCTATCTTTTCAAGATGTGATCTTTTTACATTGGGACGTGAATTTAAAAAGTTAATAATTATAACTTTCACATCCCAAACACGGAAGCTACTATTATTTACTTCCATTATGATGCACGTCAAAACTGGTTCAAGGCAGCACTAAACATGATTTAAAGCAATAAAGAATTGCTTTTGGGTTTAACATGCGCTCCCTAAATTAGATGACTAACGAGTGATTACTATCGTTAAAGCCCAACATGGAAACCCCAAAGGCAAGCCCAAGACAATTCCCATTGGGCCATTGGGCCTTGACTACATCCACTCTCCTACCTTTTCGGCCCCACAGGAGAAACAATGCACAGCCTTTTACATTAGTTTTTAATCTAATTTATCCCCACACATTTATAATGAGGCTGATTTTTGCCGCTTTATAAAATGATAATGACGTATAACGTGATAATAACAACAGGATTACTTTTGTGGTAGCTAATAACAACACGATTAAATTGAGTATTTTGATTGAAAAAATTACTAAATTATTTAATCCCACAGCGAGTGAGGTGAGGTGCCCACAACGTGCCACTATGAGTTTTTTAAATTATATTGGACGCGTCTATTTTGACCCATGTACGTTTCTGGAATAAAAATCCAGAGAGGGTAACAACAAAAAAAGAGAACAATTGGTAAAATGCAGACGATAATTTCCCTTTCTGAGAGCACTAGAAGAAAAGAAAAAAAAAAAAAAAACTCACGCACACACGCGCCACCCACGAGAAATGCGGAAGAAAAATATTACTAAACTGAAGTGCTTTACATTTCAATAGAAACCCCTGAATTTCCGAACGCGCGTGGACCTAACATTTTTCCATTTTTTTTTAATGAACACTCCGAAAATATGACTTATTGAAGCTTTCCAATAGATTTTTACACACGCTTAATATCAACGGTTCACGACGGACGGACGGCCCTGATCAACTAAACCCAATTTCAACCTAATCATGGAACGGCTCGGCTTAAATCCTCCGTAGCTTCTCACCTTTGATCACGGGATTAGCACGTGCAATCTCTTCTCTCCCCACCGCCTTGAAATCGAAGCCACACGCGTGCTTCTCGGGGTACCTGTGGGTCCCGCAAAACGTGGTTCCGCACCTGCACTTGAACCCGGTCAACCCCACGCGCTTCCGGCACGCGCCGCACCGGTTCGCCTGAACCTCTGCGCTCGCGCTCGCCGGAAGCGGAAGCGGAAGCGGCGGCGCCAGTTGAGGGAGAGATTCAACGAGCGCCGGCGAGGAATCATCTGCGGCGGAGGAGGAGGAGGAGGAGGAGGATGGAA